ACAAACGTCCAGACCCGGAACGATTACTTGTAGGCCATACAAATTCTTGTTCCGAGCGGGATTCGAACCCACGGCCCTTAGCGCTGTAACTCATTGCTAAGCCACTGCGCCACGGAGCCGTCAACCTCCATCTTAGTCCATCTTCCATCCATCTTCCATCCATCTTCCTTCTTAGTCCTTACGGGAGAAGGACCACGTTCTTACCGAATACCGGCGTAAAATAGCAGCTTAACCCTTTCCCTTTCCCTGTCTCATAAATCATATATGAAAATTTTTTTGTGTTTTTCTATTTCTATTTTTTAACTATTGTGCCTGTTTCCCGGACAGGGAACCTGTTAGTGCTCCTGTGTTTCTGATGTTAAGTGTAGAGAACTGAAGACCCAATTTACTGGTAACGATGCATTTAAATTTAGTCCTCAGGGGTAACAACGCATTTTCATTTTGATTCTTAATCGAGGGTAGATGGAGGGGTCTTTGGGACGCGGCACCCACTTACCCTCAGATGGACATAGTGTAAATGAGTAGCATTAGGCTACCCTTATCTCTATAGCTTAACAAGTTGAAACCAATTATTAACTCTTACTCATTTAGTGCCGGGGCGGCATCAGAGGCAGCTAAACTAAGTAACGCAAATATAATTCTTTGAGAGACGACTACATATAATATTTGCGCCGTATACTGTAGAGACTATCGGCCCGTCGCGTCGGGTTGACGTGCGGTGAAGTTCTTAAAGGAACTGGATCTGCGACTGGTCGTAGCTGCTGGTGATTCGAGGTTCTTTTTTCGCTCAATCGCTAAGGTATAGTCATACAGCGAAGAAACGCAGACAGAATTCTTGGCACGATACCACGGGGAGTAGGAGTGTATGATAATTGATAATTTAAGTTTTAATTTTTTTTATTATAACTTTTTAAATATTGTATATATTTTAATGATGTATAAAATGTACAAATAAATGGAAATAATAATTTATATATAATAATATTCATATTTTTATTACTATTTCGTATTCATTTTTAATATCTATAATATACCTAATGGTGTTTGTGAAAGGTTAATCGAGATTAGCTTCTTCTAAAGATGCATACCAGCTTGTGTGTATTCTTGAAAAGATGATTTAATCTTTTTCGCCTTAATAACATAAACAAGGATATAGTTACAATTATTTGTCTTTTTTTTATGATAAGGGTGACAAACGAGCACACAGTCCGCCTGATGGTAAGTGGTTGCTGCGACCCATAGACTTCACAACAATCAAAACTACATCAATTCTCTATCACGTCAATCACGAATCAAAATGCATATGAGTTGTCACCCGTGAGGACTTAGTTAAAATGCCTCTTTTCCAGTAAAAAGGGTCTCCGGTTCTCTACACTCACCATCCGAAACACAGCAGCGTTAAGCTGCTATTTTACGCTGATATTCTGTGAGAGCGTGGTCCTTCCCCGGTCGAGCCGACCTATTTGTGCTATAACTATACTGATATAGCTGCAGCATGGCTCTACCACGTAAAAATTTTGCGTTGTCTCTTATTTAGTCCCATAGTGCATTTTTATTATGTTTTATTACAGCATTACCACTCTATTATTATGTATTATCTCTATTATCCACCATATTTACATCAAAATTTTCCGAATATATGAAATATTACATTATACGATTTTTTCACTAACATCAACTCTTTGTTCAATTTATATCACTATAAAATTTAATCATATCACTATTTATTTATATATAAATTTAATCCTTTTTTATCAAAATTTAAATTCAGTAGACGTTAAGTGCCTCTGTCAATTTATCATGTATAATAAGCCTTACGTTTTAATTACATACCTAGGTGTTTATTATATGTATCAGATAATTATAAAAGCAAGCTTTTATTGAATATATAATTAAATACCTGTTTGATCAGCTTTCATACATAAAAGCTGCTTAAATATGTAACCTGAATAATAAAAAATATTCAGTAACATCCATCCTGACATAAACAACAATTTAATTCAGAAAATGACGTAGATTATCATACAATCTTTGTCAAATTTGTGTCAATTTTGAGCAATAAAATAGTTTAATGTCCCATTTAGCTGGATGTGGTCGCAACTAACGTATAATTATTACGGAAAAGGGCTGAAATAAGGTGCAGGTCTATTGCTTGTCTACTTAAGAACTATTATGTTCATATTATATTTATGAATTTCCACCTAATTTAACAATGATTAATTCACTGTTCGAATGACATGAATAAGGACTAAATTGGTACTTAATTATACAACGGAGTTAATAATTCTTGTCATTAATTCACTTTTTGTGCAAATATACGGGTATACACATACAATTTAATTAAATTACGCCATAACATTTTTTAATCGTAACGTTAAAGCAAATTTTATTTTATACTAAAACTAACGATCTGCCGCGGCTGCGCACGGGTGACTTTTGGATCTCGACAACATATGCATGTATTATGCATTAAACCTTCCTCTTGAATCATTCTATTTATTGATGAAAAATACATCAAAATCCGTTGCTTAGCTCAAAAGATCTAAGCATACTGACGGTGGAAAGCGACTTTGTTTTATAATAGGATGTAGGGATACGTTAGAAAAATCCGATAAAACAGTTTTAAAGCAGTTTTAAATGATGTGTATGCTGGCAAGGTACCTAATAGATATTTCTTCTGGAACGTGAGTGGTTTCTTCCACTTCTTCTGCATGTAAACATTCCACTGTGGAACATTATTTTTATAGGATAAGGGTAAAAAACACCTCATACAGGCCACCCATCGACATCTACTTCAAGGTCTGGGTCTAAGTAACATATATCATCGATTACGATTCAAATGTAGATAAATTATCACCCCTATCCTTAAGGACTAAGATGGAATGCCTCGCTTCCAGTAAAAAGGGACTCCGGTACTCTACACTCACCACACGAAACAATTTTACGCAGTGTTCTGTGAGGCGTGGTCCTTCCCCTGTCGAGCTGACCCATTCGTGCTACAATTTTTTTTTTTTTTTATAGGATAGGGTGACAAACGAGCACACAGTCCACCTGATGGTAAGTGGTTGCTGTGGCCCATAGACATCTACATCTATCCTCGATTACGAATCAAAATGCAGATGCGTTGTCACCCGTGAGGACTAAGATGGAATGCCTCGTTTCCAGTAAAAAGGGTCTCTGGTTCTCTACACTCACCATACGAAATACAGCAGCATTAAGCTACTATTTCACGCTGGTATTCTGTGAGAGCGTGGTCCTTCCCCGGTCGAGCCGACCCATTCGTGCTACAACTATACTACTAATATAACTGCAGCATGGCTCTACCACGTATAAAATCATATTGCATATTACAATACTACTAGTATTGTAATATGCAATATGATTCTAACACGTCTACGGCCTCTACCATAAAAGTGAGTACATGTTTCAAATGTCTGCCACGCTTTCAAGAGGTAACTCGCCGCTCCTGCGATCTCCGAGCCGCTGATTAGGCGTAAATTTGACACTGCAGAAATTTCAGATTTTAAATAAAATTACCTTTTCACTAATTTACATACTTAAGGAATGGCGGGAGCGATCCTGTAGGTGTTCACAATCTGCAGACTTCCCGTAGCGTCAAGTCTTTACAATACCCATGTGTTATTTTTTAACGCGGGTTTTTATTGTTCGCGTAAGATTGTAGACTCGATGCTCCGGGAAGTCTGCAGACTGTGAACACCTGTCGGTGCTCGTTATACTGGTGTTCCGCTGTCCCATCGTCGGTGACGCCTTGCGTAGGCGCCCTCGCACGGCCGCAGTGTAGTGAGTGCCTTCCACAGGCACCTTCGCCCGACATCAGTGAGTGCTTCCCACAAGCACCCTCGCCCGGCAGCAATCCCGGTTTACCTATCTCCCGGCAGTAATCCCTGTTACTAATTCCCAGCAGCTAGCTATACAGTTCCAGGTCAACCCCTTTAATGTCTTCTCGGGTTCTGCTTCAGATCCAACAGGCCTCCTATGATGGCCTGAGTCTTGGGTGTCATCACCGTCTCTGGAACAGATTCGGCTGCTTTCTTGATGTGGTCTTGATCCGGTTACGAATAACCAACTTAAACGATAGGTCGTCTTCCTCTGCCGATGTTGGCCTTCTATCCTGTCTTGACTTGGCTCCTAACGACCAAATGGGAACGGTGTTCGGACCTCTTCTTTCGGCTGGCTTTTTAAACTGGCCGCGATAGCCCTACCACAACGGACCTCTGAGGCACGGCTCTTGCGCCTCCTGTCAGGGAACAACCTACACACACCACCGCGCTGGGTTTGGGGCAACGAGGTGGGCGTGACCTAAGGTCGTTCGTAGGGTCGTGATGTTTCTATCGAACAAAGACCCCGTTTCTTAAAAGAAGGGGTTGATGACTAAGATTACGGGTCTTTAAGGAGTCTTGACGTTAGTCATATACCCAATCGACTATATTTTCCCTTACTTCCCTATTATTAGGTTGAACACTGAATTTTCAGCAGCCAAGAATCCGTCATGGTAGCTGGTCTACGTCACTCATTAGTTAAAATCTTTCCACAAAGGTGATAAAATGTGCGTTAAATAGCCTGCTGTTTGGATTAGTTGCTGGTTTACAGTAAAAATAGTAATTTATTATACGTTTATTTTTGGTTTTTTTTGTAGGATGTTATTTTTTTGTGGTTATATGGGCACCAATCAAGGTAAGTTTAATTGCTATATTGACATTTAACAATCTTACATCGAAAAGTTAAGCTTGGTCTCATAACGTAATAAGAGCCACTTACAAGGCTTGTTAATAGGGCCGGCCCTTATTAAACTTACGGAATGTCTAGTTTTCCTAACATATACACAATTTTTTTTTCTATATTTTTCAACTTTTAATGATAAAATGTTGTCACAATGTCACGAGTTAATATTATATTGCAATTTTTGTTTAATTTACCTCCCAGCAGCATTTGCTTTGTTCGAGCGTATTTATTTCCTTTTCAGAATATTTGAACTAATTATGGATCCTCCTGCTAAAAAACGTCGGAGACTTTGGTCGCTTCAGCAATTACAAGCTGCAACAGCTTCTGTTCAAGGAGGACTGATGTCGCAACGTGGGGCATCTGCGTGGTACTCTATTCACAGAAAAACTTTGGTAAGCCATCTAAAATCTGGAAAATTCGAAAAACAAATAGGACGTCGAACAGTTTTAACACCAGAGCAAGAAAATGATTTGGTGTCGAGAATCAAAAGGCTTGCTTTCATAGGATTTCCTTTAACGCTAAATATTCACAAACACAAAATTCCTAATAATCTTAATCCGACAACAAGGCGGTCTGGTGAAGACTGGTTAAAATTATTTTTAAAAAGACATCTCGATATATCAAAGCGCAAGGTTCAAATCCTAAAAAGAGGACGGGTGCAGAAGCTGAAGTAGCTTATTTTCATGCAACATTTTGCTGATTTTAAGAAAATATACGAAGAACTAGAGATCTGGCAGCATCCGCAACGTATATGCAACGTAGATGAAAAAGGCTGCCGTCTCACCATTCACAACCAGCCAGTGGTATTGGCACAGAAAAGTGCTAAAAGAGTACGCGTGTAAAGCGTTCATATGGTTGCACCAGAGTACGTTGAGAATGTTACTGTGGCTACGTGTGTAAATGCATTAGGTAGTCGGATTCCCCCAATAATATTATTCAAGGGGAAAATGTTAAAGGCGGAATTGAATGATAATTTGCCTGCAGGATCACTCGTGAATATGGCAAAGAAAGACAGCATGACATTGTTCACTGTTTGTAGATTTCATACATCACTTGGGAAAATATAAAGCGACCGGCAGGTGTCTTCTAATTTTTTGATGGCGCTTCATGTCATTTAGATTATAATATTGTTGATGCAGCAGAGCAGTACGATATTGTATTGTACTGCTTGCTCCAACTCTCCAGCTCCAACCTCTAGTTAAAAGAGAAAACAAATCGTTTGAGCACCATTGGGAATAAGAAGCCTTACTTTATTTACACCAAAACCTAGACAAAAAACTGACCAAAGCGATGAGTCTGGTCAAAATGACCTTTGAAAATATAGCAAGTGTGTTCAAAGCTACAGGGTTGTCCTTATAATTCAGATGCAAAACCAGATGAACCATATGCACTATTTGCATTGACTGAAAGCCATATAGCAGTATACATCATAACGAAAGAGAACGGTCGATCCTTGCAAAAAGCTGGTCTTAGTTCTGTGAATTTACGAAACGCATCACTAAGACGTGCTAGTGATAGTTCAGATTCTGAGAAGATATTTTTTGAAGAGCAAGAAATTTTTCGGTCTTTACAAAACTTGCCAACCCCTGGTTCTAGTGGTTTTAATTTCCAGCATTCAGGGCAAAGTCCTGGTGTTAATAGTTTAGATTGAGACAAGATCTTTTTTGAAGACCGTAATTCATATTTGTCATCTCTGCTACATCAGAATGACTTATTGTTGCGTATTTTAACTAGTACAGGGGTAAAAAGACGTTTAGTTGATTATAGCTCATCAGATTCTGATCTTGCAAACTCAAACTTACCAACAGAACTAAGCAAGTATGACGCAACAATAAGGCAACCAATAATTTATGGCTCTGAATCTGATACAACTATTACTGAAGTACTTGTCCAACAGAAAAACTTATACCTCAGTATATCCGTGATATATACCGTTATTCTGATAATAAAAATATGGACCATATATCAAGATAAGAACAGACTCCCAAGAAACAGAGGACGTGTAACGACATCTATAACATGAGACAAGTATGTGATAGCTCTTCAATATCAAGCGGTTCAGAAGACAACTTGCTATTATCAAGATTGAAACAAAAAAAGTCGTAAAGTCTCCTTTTCAACAGTTACTACCAATACCGAATTTTTCTGTGGTGAAAAAAAGAAGCCAAGACGTAAGACAATCAATTATCAAGGGCAGTTAGTGACTAAAGATATGTTTACAGAAAGAGTTAATAAAAAAGAAAGAAATACAAAACAGAAACATAAAAAAGAATAGAAGATGAACAGCCACATGCAAAAAGAAATAAAAAAGAACAACAGTCAAAGAATAAGAATAAAAAATGTATAAAAATCACGTCCAGTCAAGAGAAATGAAGAAAAAAGGCAAAATAAAGAACATGAGTTAGGAACCGAGACAATGAAGAAAAAATAAATGATATTAGCCAAATAGATGATATTGATAAAAGGCACATAAAACTTTGAATACATGCGACAGCACCCAGGATGCTAAAGATGGTTCCACGAATAATGTGGACCTGACAAAAGAGGATATTAGTTTTGAATATCCTATGTGCAATTAGTTGACCAAAGCTGAAAAATTTACTATAAAGCTATCTAATATATTCTGTACTATTTGTTATAATATGTAGTTAAATTTAATCTCAAAATGTTAGATCTTATTATTATTTAAAATAAGGGCCACAAATTTTTATATAAACAAATGTTTTATTTTTCTTTTGCTTTTATTAAAAATTTAAAGCGTTATGAACAAATTGTTCAATGATATGAATATTTTGGAATATTCATATATTTAATACGGTTTCATACAATATTTGTTACGTTATTCTAATAAGGCTCATCGATGTTTTCTGATTAATTAGGATTTGTCGAGGGCGTAATTTGTAAGAAAATTAAAATTTATATTAATAGAAAAAAGGAGACGTTGTGTTCCTACCGATAAAACTTAATAAAACTGTATTTTGATACGATCCTTTTTTAACCATCTAAGTTTAATAACGGCCACAAAGAGGGTTTTAAAAACACTTGTTTGTAAAGTTAAATTATGTAAGACACCAAAAAATTGTACGTTTGAACTTACAGTAAAAATATTTGTCTGGTGTCTCATTTTTTATTCGTATCGTTAAAATCATAGAATACTATAATACATACATATTAGAACCGGGGAGTGGGCGGAGCCCGCGTAGCCACTAAAATGTCACTAACATGTCAATTCACACGTATTACTGTCAACACGTGATGTGTTTTGACGTTACAATCGTTTCCAAATTTCGCATGCAAATTATTCAGAAAATGCCAAATTGCACACTATTTACAAATAAATAGAATCAGAATCAGAATCAGAATTTTTATTTGCGTAAGAACATGGTATATAAAGAAAATATGTATTATAAATAATAATAAAGAAAATTATGTATCAAATTTTAAAAAAAAAATTAATTTTTTTATTCTTGAACATTAACCAAAAGTCAACACAGCGAATCGGGTTTGTAGTAGTGATAATAAGACGTAATTGCTTATATGTGTGCTCCCGGCGACGCCGACTCTCGTACAAAATAAGGTTGACAGCCATTCTATTGTGTATCATAGTATTCTATGGTTTAAATATTTAAAATATTGAGTTTCAAATTAAGGTGGCTCTTATTTGCCGCCGGTACCTTATTATAATTTCCTATATATTATATTATATTGTATATATTTTATTGGTATAGTATGTATTTATATTGAAATGCATATCAATTTGTATATAATTATTTGTATATATGTAGATATGTTTATATATGTGTATAAGTGTATATATAAACTAACATATTCATATTATATAATACGTTTTGAATAGTAGGTGTGAATAAGTTTTTCTATCGCGGCTCTCTCTCTCTCTCTCTCTCTCTCTCTCTCTTGACACACAGCTCTCACCACACTATCAAAGGTTAACTGGCAGAGAATGCCTTTTCGGCGTTAAGTTCGCTTTTGTCCCAATTTTTTTAGAGTTCATTAAAGAATTTTCTATCTATCTAAAATCTCAAAACATCTACTAACTACATTTAAAAAAGTGTAAGTTACAAAATGAATCTATTTTAAATTTTTCTTGTGTTTATAATTCAAAAGTATTATTAAAAGCACCGTCGAAGACTGCAAGAAAACCTTATTGCGCTCGCAAATTACACAACGTCGCATTAACTAAACAACAGTTTCTTTGTCATTTTCTGTCTAGAAAATTGTATAGAAGCGAAAACGACAATCAAATCGAGCCTTTTGTTAATGCGTTCCTGTTAGACAATCCCACAGAAATACTAGTATCACTGCAAATAGCAACTCTATAATCTTGAAAGAGTATTTGAATCATCCATTATGAATAGAAAACGTCAGTCGGGGTTATAAAAACTTCAGCCAGCTTACGTAGAAAATAAAATACAATTTGCAAGGCAATAAACCAAGGAGGTTATAAATATATAGGGAGCGAGCGCTTGGAACATTGAAACCGTTCTTCATTTTCCTTAGATAGAGAGGCACCGAGTTTGGTATTATATCTCCTTCTAGCATTAATAAATGTTTACACAAAATAAAAAATAACCAACATTTAGGCAGTTATTGAGTTAAAGTAGTATTTTAGACGTATGCTTGAACGAATCTTACATTTTTATCGCACATTATAATTGGTACATTCCATATTGTATTCCAATTAAGCATATTATTAAGTTACACGAAAAAAAAAACATTAAAACACGAATGTACTTTCCCTGAAAACTATGGGGTGCATTTTATGCTATAGATGACAAACCTATTTTAAAATTTGACGTTGTTAAATGCATAAATATGGCGCTATTGGCTTCTATTCTCTGTTTGACTTGTCATCAGCGAATGTGATTTAATTGATTTAATTAATATTGCAGAACTTTTCGGGTTTTCTAGTGAAAATGGTATTTTCGTGTTGTGTGAAAGGTTGTAGAAGTGAAAGTTACCCTGGATGTGGTTTGTCATTCCATAGGTAAGAAAAATTTATAGAGTATATTGTGATATGTTCACACTTTCGTAGTTTTAATATTGTTTTTAAGTCTGAATTTCGTGAATACAGCATCTGCTATTTTTTTAATTTTGATTATTGATCTCTCCTGTTATTCTCAGATATATATTTTGCTACCGTTTCGTATATTTCAAAGAAAATTATATAGAATGTTTTGTTAGTAAAGTGACCAATAATAAGAATAAAAACAATAACTTGGAATATGAATAACACAATTGACGAAAAAGTGTTACATACATACATAAACCAAAACTCACGCCTTTTTCCCGTGGCGGTAGGCAGAGACCACAGAGTACCAACTGCTACGATCCAAAAGTAATTTTTTTTTTAGTGAGTAGTATAAGATGTGTGAGAAGGACCTTGGCCTAATTAAAATGTAATCTAGTCCTGATTTCAATTACCTGCGGCATTATAGATATTATTTTTTTCTAACTTCTATTATTTGACGAAGTCACAGTTAATAAAATGATTTATAATATGAATGTCACGTCTTTCTTTATCTCAATCCCTTCAAGGAAGTTGGGTACTCTCATGTTAAGAAATACGAGAAAATAAGCTGGAAGCATTTATTTTCATAATTATTATTATATATCTATATTTGTTTAAGTTTCCCGGTGAAGGAAGATGCACTGAAAGCATGGCTCAAAGTAGTTCCGGTAAAAGGATCTACTAAATACAAAAAAAGTTTGCTCTAACCATTTCAAAAGTCAGGATTTTGTTATCCAAGGAGCCAGAAAGCGCTTAACAGCCAATGCAGTGCCATCAGTTCTAGTAACGGTATGTATTAATTTTAATATAAATGTCATAATACTTCTTATAAATTATAGTAACTACAGTTGAAGCAACAATGTGGCATAGATTAATAAAAAAATGGAAGAACAAAGTTTGAAATTCATTGTACAATATTTAACCCGAGCTAAAATTATGATAATTTTTCTTTCTAGTTTTCTTGCATCATCAATCAATTAATTCCATTTTTCTCTCTGCTGGACATAATATGTTATTCCATAACTGCGCTATAAACATAAATAAATAAGTAACAACTTCTAGTCCTGGTTAATTACTTATGTTTCTATTACATTAAATGATATTACTATTCCATTAAATTATACTAATTTAATTCTTGAAGTGTAATTTAACAATTCATATTATTTTAGATGCCCATGGAAACTGTGAAGGTGATCAGTAATATTCAAATAAAACCACCAAACATCATGGCTCACCAAGATGTTCCAGCTAATTCAATGAAAATTGATATGTGTTACGAGTCAGTGCCAAATACATCTTCTCAGGAAATCACGTTAAGAAAGAGACCATTATCTGATTTGAGCCCTTCACTCAATATTACCCAATCAAATAAAAGGAAATGTGTCGCGCATAAGTATGTACAAACATCAAGAGGTAAAGAAAATAGTCAAATAAAAAGAGAAGTTAAAATTCTTAAACAAAAATTAAAACGCAGAGATTTGAAGATTACGTCGATGAAAAATCTTCTTAGTGTAGTGAAAAAAAGGACTGCGCATTATGAAGATATTGAGAGTATCATTAGAGATCATTTTTGCAATATTTATTCAGAATTTAAACCTAAAAATAAATCTAAGATATCACCAGGTGTAAGATATAGCAAGGAACTTAAGCAGTTTGCTCTAACTCTTAATTACTATTCTCCACGGGCATACAGATTCTTGCGCACATGCATTAATTTGCCACATCCTGCTACAATTCGCAAGATGCTTTCTTCTGCAGAGTGTAATGTCGGTTTCCTTAAGGAAGTTTTTGAATTTTTAAAATTAAATGTCCAAACGAATCCCGCTTTAATTCATGTTGCCCTGATTTTTGACTCAATGGCTATTAAATCGGAGCTCGTGTATGAGAAAAACTCAGATAAAACTTGGGGTTATGTTGATTTGGGTGGAATTGAAAATGTAGATTCCTATGAAGTGGCGAAAGAATCTTTAATTTTTCAAATAGTGTCTTACACAAGTAGGTTCAAATGCTGTATAGGCTACTTTTTAATAAACAAAATAACAGCTACTATCCAGTCGCAGTTAGTTCATACAGCTATAAAAATGTTGCATGATATCAACATAATCGTTCATTCGACAACATGTGATGGTACTGTGGTAAATCTAAGAACATTTGAACAGCTCGGGTGCGTTTTTGATGTTCCTAATATTAAGTCAAATTTTAAACATCCTGATGGAGTAACTGAGGTGCATTGTATATTTGACCCATCTCATATGCTGAAACTTGCTCGAAACACTTTAGGTGAATTCCCTATGAAATCTAATTTAGGCATTATATCATTTGAATATATTAAAGCTTTAAATAAATTACAAGAGTCTGAAGGTTTTAGGTTTGCGAACAAATTAACAAATACACATGTTAACTTTTGGGGGAATAAAATGAATGTAAAATTAGCTAGTCAGTTGATAAGCGTCTCTGTAGCTGACTCGATTGATTTTTTAAGGGTCAGCGGAAACAAAAAATTTCAAAATAGTGAAGCTACTGTTGATTATATCCGACATTTAGACAAAGCTTTTGATTTGATGAACGGCAAAAATCCAATAGGGAAGGGATTGAAAGCTCCACTAACCTTGAAAAATATAACCTTCTGGGAACCTATTTTTGAAGAAATACGTAATTTCTTGCTTAATTTAACAATTGAGGGTCAAAGTATAATGCAACATCGTAGAAAAACATTCGCTTTAGGTTTTTATGTGAATACGATAAGCTTTTCAAATTTGGCGAAAGATTTACTGACACGTACCATAGATCCTATGAAATATTTTTTAACTTATAAGTGCTCACAAGATCATATTGAGATGTTATTTTCCTGCATAAGGGCCCGAGGTGGTGGCAATGACAATACAAATGCATTGCAACTGAAATACACATTACGTAAATTACTTTTCAAAAATAGTGTAATGCCAAGCGTAAATAGCAATACTTACGATAGTGACTATGAATTAACTCCAATTTTAGAGTTTAGGTCTCCTCAACGTGCAATGCAATTAGGGTCGATTGAACAAGAGAATGAAAGTGAAACATTGATTTCATTGATAAACAATGTCTCGCTTTCCAGTTATCAAAATAATATATTATATTATATAACTGGTTGTATTGTTAAGAATCTCCACAGTAAAATAACATGTGAAGAATGTCAAAATTTGATAAAAGACATAGGTAAAAATGTTGACCACTTATACACAATTGATGTTAATAAGCATTCAGCGTTTACTGCTTTATAAATAGAGGCATGCTATTTTTTCCATCACAATCTGTGTTCCAAGTGGTAAAATTCACCGAAAGAACATGTAAACAAATAGATTTAAACTCTATGAAACAGCACTATAAAAAAAGGATCATACAAATAGTAATGCAGCATTTTTCTGATAAAATTTCTTCTATGTTTCCACATTCTCTAAGCCAGGGTATTGATTGCGGAGACTTGCATAATATTCAATTGCTAAAATCTATAGTGATAAGTTTCCTGAACATGAAGATAAAGCACCATCAAAGGTCTAGGACCATGAAATTGCGGGATTCCAAGAATGTATCCCGACAAAAATTACATAAAACCATTTTGTTTAGTAACCTATAAATCTTTTAATTAAAAAAGAAAAATAAAACTCGTTGTTTTTTTTACCCTTAAAAATTTATTTCGGCTAACCAGGAAGCCCATGTGACATGTTGGCTCCTGTGGTGAAACTGGTGTGGTAAAGATGGGTTCAAACCTAGCCACCTATTAGGCAAACATCGTGACTGAGAAGAAATTGAGTTTCATATAAGCTTAAATTCTATTAATAAGTATGCTTGGTTGAGTGCGATTTGTTTGATCGCTAAGGTTACCGTAAGGTTTGATACCGTAGCGAAGCAATAATATAATCAAAATAATAAACGGAGTTTAATTGTAACACTTCAGCGCTTTTCATATTGAAAAAATACGCATTCCGTTTTCTGTAACTCTGTAAATACATACTATTAATATCCTCAAAATATTGTATCATGGACACTCCATTAGAAAGAAACGGAACGCCTAACTCGGTGCCTTTCATTCATTTCAAGGTCACCGATTTAGGACCATTTTTCAAGTATGAAGTGCGCACTCCCTATATATTTATTTATAACCTCCTTGCAATAAACACACAGCCAACTTTACAACAGCGTGTTATGTGACTTACACTTTATGAATGATTAAAAAAGGATTTAAAAACTTTTTTGTTAATTGAAAACTGAACGTAAACTAAAGTGATATTTCTGAGTTAGGTCTTTATTTTTATTTATAAATTTATACGTACATAACTGGGTTACGTAAATACTGTCTTTCTCACGGTCACGGTCTTCTAGTATGCAGATGCCTAATAATGTAGAAAATTAACTGAAGTCAGGATAGAAGTAACGTAAAAAGTAAATATAGTTGTGTAGAGTATGAAACCCATATTGTAGGCTTATGAAAAAACTAAGATCTGACAGTTGTTCTGATAGCAAAAGCCATTAAGGGGAAATATAATGTCAAATGGCTTAGCAAGATCCTTCGTTATGCCGAAAATATTGCAGCATTAATTTTGAAATAAATATATGGTAAAGTTGAGGATTAATGTTAATGATTATGTTAAATGAAAACACGATTTCGTAAAATTTTCTCGATAGAAAAAAAATCCAAAGTTACCTCCAAAATAAACAATAAACCGCTGTTATTCATAAAATACTTTAAATAAGATCATGAAACTTTGCATACTAACTGAACTAACTATAAAGCAGTGCTTATGTTATTTACTTTTTTTAAAATACCATTATTTTCACTGTAAAAAGAAATTACCTAAACTATCGGCGTCTTGAGCTTGATTCCAGTCGCCCCGTTAGTATCGCTTAGGCTTTTGAAGGGAGAAGTTGTGTCGCTTACGATCAGAATATACATTACGCAACAGTACGACGTAAAATTAAAATGGGGAATAACCGTGATAAAAATAAGAAGCGGCTGGCTTGGCGTTAAGAAACAGGCATAAATATGATAAACCTAATGAAATAAGTGTCTAACGACCTTTCTACTTACAGTATTAGTGATTACAAACATATCGGTACATAGCATACGACGCGCGGGGAAGTGGGGGCGAAATTAGAATTTGAGCTGACTTACTCTATCTTCTTAAGTTTTACCCAAATACTGGTTGTATTATTAAAAGACTGTCATAGGTATCAAAATCACAAGGAAGATGAGAGAATACAAAGCTCGCGTCGGGCATTTTGTTTCGACATACGAGGGGATATCTCATGGCATCCAAACTTTCTCCTGGCTATATTGTTAAGATGAGACGTTAAGTGGATTAGTAAAAGTCATTATTTTACATCAAAAAATGAGAGTTCTCAATTCGTCTGTGTTCTTCCGGGGTGGCCCCGAGGTGGGTTTCGGAGAAAAACTTGCACCCATAAGAGTCGAAAAATAGTGGATGGCGTTTATAATGTATCTAAATATTTAGACAACATTCTTGCCGTTACCTTGAACTTTTGATATTTTTATATCGCTCAAAAAGAGTCAAAAAAGTAAAAACCCAGTTTCAAAAAACGAAAAGAATGAAATTATTTCCCATACTGATGTTTGAGCTTTAATACCTCTGTTTTACTCTTATATGACAAGATCAGTATATAAAAGTATTTTATTCGTTTCAGTTCTTTGGACTTTCAGTTTCATTGAAGTTTGTTTTTATAGTGACAAACGAGCTCACAGTCCCTCTGATAGGAAGTGGTTGCTGTGACCCATAGACATCTACATCAATCTCCGATAACAAATTGAAATGCAGATGCGTTGTCATCCGTGAGGAGTAAGATGGAATGCCTCATTTCCAGTAAAAAGGGTCTCAGGTTCTCTACACTCACTAAACGAAACACAGCAGCGTTAAGCTACTATTTGACGCTGGTATTCTGTAAGAGCGTGGTCCTTCCCCGATCTTGGTTACCCATTCGTGCTACAACTACCAGTAATATCGCTGCAGCATGGCTCTACCACGTAAAAGTAATTATTGTCTACCTTCTTTCAAAATGCATTATAAAACAAACATGATCAAAATTAAACACAACATTATTGCCAACGCCATTGCCAACTTCTGGTTGTATTATCAAAAGATGTCGCTGTGATTGATAGTAAAATATCAAGAACGATGACGGGGAGAAGCGTCAAATGCGAGACGTCTGGTATTGTGCTCGCAAACCCTACAATAGGACATTCCTATGTTCAGTAGTAAACTTCTACGGACTTATAGTGGTGACGACGATAGTATCCAGTCCAATATTCCCACCAAAATTTATCTGAAAAAAATCTGTGTATCAGGACAACATAAAAACATAAGAAGTTTATAACTGGCAGGTGTTTGTAGACTGCGGTCCTTGCTTTGCCTGTAGCATGGCAACAATTTACGACAGTCGGTCACTCAGCATCGCCTTTCGGATCGCTGCCAGTTTCGTTCGCTGCGTAATCACTGCTATCAGCGAGGAGACCACAACGCTGGAGGGTTTGATTATGTCATTAAGTACTGAGCACCGCGGATATCACGGTTATAGTTTTATACTAAAATTGAAACTAGCCAACGGCTATAATTCCTGATGTCGCCATTGATAAGTTTCTACCATGTAATCTTATCTCTGAAGTATATAGATACAGTTTTGTTTATATATATGCATAATATATATTTAAAGTAAAAGTAAAAATAGCTTACATAGTTAACGGCATATACCGTTACCTTAACAGTCTATTAAAGGTGAATATGAGCCTCCCCCATAGATTGCCTCATAGGGGAATATTTGCCATAGTTGCCACGTTGCCAGTTGGCAAGCGGGTTGGCAACCGCAGTTTATTTTTAGTCGTTATTAGGAAGTCGCTGCTGCCCAACTCCTGATTTTTTCCCCCTGTCGCCTCTTGCGACTACGAGCATGGCTGTGTAGAGGATAATCTTACACCGCCACTCCACGGTAACTACGCTACCATTCCTACCTATATGACGTTCCTCAGTTGAACACAGGGTTTCTATCTCTTGAGGTGGTTAAAGAGCGATAAAAAGTCCATCATGTTTATACAGTTCGAATTTGTGAAATTATCGTACGTGGTAAAAACATGCTGCAGCTATATTATGGTTGTAACTTGGATAGATTAGCTCGACCGCAGAAGGATCACGCTTTTACGATTACCAGCGTAGAATAGCAGCTTAATGCTGTTGTGTTTCGTATGATGAGTGTATAAATTCGGAGTATTTCGCTGGAATCCAGGCATTCCATCTAAGTTCTCAGGTGTGACGTCACATCTGCATTTTGATTCGTAATCGAGGCTAGAGGCTGTCTAAAATATTTTATGATAATTTTTCAGACAAGGCAGATTATTATCAGCACAAAGTTCAAAAACTTTATTAAACTAAGTTTGCATACAAAGGTATATTATAATATTAGGGATTTATGGATGATAATATCCCCTGGGAAAGGTGATTGATACCAAGTTATTTCTAATTTGTATTATGTTGTTGATTGTGTAACACTAACATACATGATTGTACACAGTTATTTTTTTAAACGTCCCGCTTGGTTTCTTGCTGGTTCTTCCCAGGACAGAGGGTTTTCCGCACCAGTGGTAAATTGAAAAAATTGACTTTCGATAAATCTACCTTATCTATATTAAATAAAAAAGTTTTGGTTTCTGTTTCTACCGATTTTATTCTCATACGAGCACATTATAAATCAGCATTTAGAATTAGGTACAATATCTAATTTAATAAATGCAAAATAATGTTACGTGTTAAAGCCATATTCTACAATCTTAAAGTCAGTTAAAGTCTACTCGACCAGGGAAATACCACCTATGGAATAACAGAGTAAAAAGGCTTATAATGCTAATTATCATACTTCGTAAATGGGTGACAAAAACCACAGACCTTTTTTACTGGTAGTACCAAGGTGTCTTAAGGTTGACAATGCATACCTAAGTATTTTGATTTTTTATGTAAATATCTATGAGCCACAGATTTAAGCAAGTGATCTGTGTCCGTTTTTCACTCTATACCTACCTATTTAAAAAAAAACATTTTGATAATGTCGACAGAACTTGACGACGCCGTAGCGCAATGGCTTAACAATGAGCTTGCGGCACTGAGGCTGCTAGTTCGAATCGCGCACTGAACAAGTAGGTTGTATGACCTACAAATAATTGTTCCGATTCTGTTTTATGTATGTAAACTGCCTCCACGATACAGAAGAAAAGCCTAGTGTGGGGATATCGTTTTTTAAAACAACAAGAACAAGAAAGATTAACGTAATATAACAAGCGTCCAAGCTACCATGGCTTTAAATTGCTAATTTTAGCAGAAATCCTTCAAATTGATAAATCTAACTTTTTTTCTGTAGGTCTCATTTTTAAAAAAAAGATTAATAAGTACTTTGGATCATTGGATTCTCCAACTGTCAACCTCACCTGCACGCAGTGCACCCTTTTTTTTATAGCATTGGTGTCAAACGAGCACACATACAACCTGATAGAAAGTGGATGCTGTGGCCCATAGACATCTACATTTATCCTCAATCAAGAATCAAAATACAAATGCGTTGTCAACCCTGAGGACTAAGATGGGATGGCTCGATTCCAGTAAAAAGGGTCTCCGGTTCTCTACACTCACCATACGAAACACAGGAGCGTTACGCTGGTATTCTGTGAGAGCGTGTTCCTGACAAGGTTGAGCCGACCCATTCGTACTACAACTATAATATAGCTGCAGTGTTTCACATCACAAAAAAAAATTACTGTTTGGCGGAAGGTTCTGACAACAACTTGGTAGTAAGAAAATTATCCGAATTATGTTAATTAGGTACAATATAATTCACAAGCTGCTAATAATACCTAATACCTATAACCAGTGCGAGGCGAGGGTACTACTGGCCTAGGTATTGGTAGCAAATTTAACATACAAGCCAGTTAATGCACTCTTGTAAATGCCTTCAATTATTATAAATGTATTTAAGATTTTGACGTAATGTGATGCTACAACCTAGCATAACTTAGCTAAGTATGTACTGCAATTCTATTCTTTCGTTTATTATCTGTCTAATTTAGTACCTATGCTGGTAGCAAAGGTAATACTACTTTATGTTACAAATATTTATACCTAACAATAAAGATAACAATACATTTGAATACATAAATTATCAGGATATTTAATATCTTTATATGAAGTACGAAATGTAGGCTATAATGAATGATGTTATGTTAAAATCTGAAATTAATCGAAGGTTCAAACGAATCACGACAAAGCATGAGTTACTGTATTCCACGAAACTTTGCATCATACATTTGATGCAAACAAATTGCTGACATACAGCTGATGGAGATGTGGGCGGAGCGGAGGCGGCGATTGGAGCTAACAGCACCAATGCGCGCGCGCCGCACGGTAGCCACTCTTGCATACCGGCATACAGCCTCCGCACACACCTTCCCACTTAAACTTTACAAATAATTGCCGCTTTCTATCCAGCTACACTGCAGTGTTTGGAGATCAATGTTAATACATCAATTAATGCATCACAACCATCAAAGATCATCAAGGAAATGCGGAATCATTAACTAGCCACGTATCGTTGAGACGAATGCTCAGCTACCTAACGTTTAAGCATTCAATATTATCAATAATTGGACGGACAGCATCATTAAAGCTCCCGGGACAGGGTCTATTTTGATTACTCGTACCTACTTATCGGAATTTAAACTTCGGTCGACCTATTATCATGCGCAGACTGCGGCCATTTCTTCGTAATAACCATGATAACGCCTAAAATTATACGATTTGTAAGGAATTTTGTTGAAAATGGCGAAAACATTACAGAAAAGTACAGGGTCGTAACGACGCCGTACGGCGCGGCCTGCGGCAAGTTCTCCGCCGCCCATATGCAAATTAAATGTAATCAAAATAATCATTTAGAACGAAACAAAGTGCCTATACTAAACCTTCCCCTCTCTCTCTCTCTCTCACTCTAATTGAAGAACAGCGACTTAAAACAGAAAGAAAAGCGTTCTTCCGTGCCGACGGAAATGCAAATGCCCTCCACCCGATTCGCTTTTATTTTTTCGTATTGAGTGTTACTGTAATTATACACACGATATTGTTTAAAGCACAAAATTATTGTAGGAATTCTTATTTCAGTAGTGATTATATGGTTAACAAAGGCGTTTGAATATGGTAGTATGTAATTCAACACCAAAATGTGGCTGTTATTATACAATTTTGCAAATATCATACCTGCGATTTATAGCAATATTTATATAATAGTAGTCTTTGCGAAAAAAGGCTCACAAAGCAGGTTGTGCGCTGCTGTATTCTGTGTTTCTAGTGAAAAAGGGTCTCCGAATCTCTACACTCACCATACGAAACACAGCAGTATTAGTAAGCTGCTATTTTACGCTGGTATTCTATGAGAGCGTGGTCCTTCCCCGATCGAGCCGACCCATTCGTACTACAACCATAATATAACTGCAGCGTGGCTCTACCACATATAAAAGTTATCTTTATATACTGTGAAAGCGCGTAGCATAAAGCTGCTATACAAAATGGGATAAATACAGATGTATGTAACTAGTGAATAGGTACGTGGAGCTCCAACGCCAACTAGCGTTGTACAGCTGTTGTTACAGCTACCAGCTAGCGTTTAATTAAGGTCACGCCTGGGTAGCCATGGGCCAGTGGTTAGCCCGCTGCGGACCGACATTGCCACTCCGTCCGCAATTGGTTGCGATTAAAAATAATTTTCAATTCTGTTGTCATTTCGATTGTTATAGCGATACTTGATGCGAGTAATTTCTCTGTCGTACCAGTTGCGAATTAATTTCAGGGCTACTGTTTACGTATTGTATAGGTACGCGTATTATTAACCTGCTTGACATTTGATTACTTAATTTAATGTATATTCGTATTGGAATAAAAAGAAATCAAAATGTTTTTTTCCCCTTACAACTTTATAAGTTTCTCGAATAATAAACGAGAAATATACGAGGTAGAGCCATGCTGCAGTTATATTAGTAGTATAGTTGTAGCACGAATAGGTAGGCTCAACCAGGGAAGGACCACGCTCTCACAGAATAACAGCGTAAAATAGTATCTTAATGCTGCTGTGTTTCGTATGGTGAGTGTAGAGAACCGGAGACCCTTTTTACTTAAAGCGAGGCATTCCATCATTTCATTCATTACTCAGGGGTGACAACGCATTTGCATTTTGATCCGTAATCGAGGATAGATGTAGATGTCTATCGGCCACAGCAACCATTTACCATCAGGTGGACTGTGTGCTCGTTTGTCACCCTATCCTATATAAAATAATAATAATAATAATAACTTTTACGTGGCAGAGCCACGCTGCATTCTGTGGTTGCAGCACGGATGGTTCACCTCTGGGACTGCTATGAATTCTGATAATAAACGTATGTTTCAGTTTTTGTTTATGTTTATCCTGAAATAGACATTAAGTTCATTGCTAAACAGTAGCTTCTACCCAGAAAGAACTTGTTGTAATTAGTTATTACTGCACTTTGCATGTTGATTGACAGTGGCAGCACCGGATGTGTGATAACTCTGAGACTAATTCTGTATCCGAGATGGTATAAGCGCCATCTATCAGAACCAGGTGGTCTGGTTGGCCTTTTCCATAGTCCCTCTTACGTCATCCACGGACGAAATAGAGTGACGAATTAGAAGAAATTATTGTGTTAAAAAGTCCGCCTTCATTTTGGCGGCGCAGCGGACACTTCCTTGCCCTAAAACCTCAGAAATAAGGGGAAACCTGTGCCCAGAAAAGTGACGTATGTAAACGTGTTGTTCTCCGACGAGTTGGAGATGGAAAGTCTTTTTATTTAGCACATGCAACTATTGCTTGTCATCGGATTTTGTATCTAAAATCTATCATTTTTATGAATACGTAAAAGACATGGAAGAAAATATCTTCCACGTTTTGAACATCTACGTATGATATATATGGCGATTAACTCGTGCAAAAATAAGTGGTGATATTTAGGAACGGAAGTGGGTTTTTTCTTTTCTTCCTAAAGGTAATAAATTCCATGACTGAGTCGCTCGATAGAACACTAAGCAAACCAAATTCAATTAATATTTCAGGTTATTACGCAAATGACTACAAATAACAGGCTAAAAGTATAATTAGATGACGTTCTCAATTGTCAGGCAATACGCCTGCACCCACACGGCCTGCTCTTTAATGCTATGAAAGCGTACAGTCGACTACATTTCTAAAGTTTCGAAACAGAAAGAACATAACATTTTTTTAAAACCTACCTATTCATCGCGCGATTGAGATGATCAGAGTTCTTAATTTATTATTAGCTGTACAGTGAACATAAAACATTTCAATGCTGAACTATGGTCATGTTTGTCTGTTGATAATCTTAGGTTTTCAATACTGCTTGTGTTTACTAAACCAAATCGAGTTGAAATATTATGTAGATTTATAATCGGATTTAACCATTGACCTATTGACAATTTATTGTTAGCTGCGTTCAAAATTTAATTAAGTTAGAATAAGACTATATTTTTTGGATACTTATATGTTATGCCATATCATGCCAATTGTAAACCCAATGTGGTATTTCTTTTTTATTTATTTTTAAATTAAAATAAATCAAATAAAAACCTTAAATTTATGAAAACATAGTGCCGCAAAAAGACATTACGCACAGATAAACCTTATCACATTTGATATTACGCACAGAATATACACTTTGTTACACATTACGCAAAATGGTAAGTAGAATTAAATAGGCTATAGGTACCATTACAGTGTATAGGTACCAGTACAGGTGGTTCCACCTTGAGGTAGTGCTATAGCTGAATCAAATTAATTAAAAAATGGATTAGTTAAGCTGAAGTGGCAATGGGCCGGGCGAAAAACCGACAACCGTAGGGGAAGCTAGGTTCTCGAGTGGCAGCGTGACAGCCTTGTACCGGTAGACGAAATGTGGGGCGGCCCCCCACTAGATGTAGTGATGACTGACGTGACGTGACTGTGACGAAGTCGATGGATGCTGGTGGCTCAGGCACGTGCTTTGTGGCATTCCTTGGGTGAGGGCCAAGTTCAGCAGTGGACTTGTGAGGGGCTGTAATGATGATGATGATGATGATGATGTTCTATGAAGTTGATTAGTATGTAAGTTAGTTAGTTAGTATGTAAGTCGATATTTCCACTTGGAAATGGTTCTAATGGGTCCAATTTTCGCCAAATTTCAACAAATTTCCAATTTTAGTACCTACACTCCTTGTCTGCAATTTATGTATTATAATACTCTATGTCTGTAACCGAATTATATCTATATTTGTACGTTAAACTTTTTCGTGTCGCATATTTCGAGATCATATTATGACAATATCGACTTAAAACCATTTTATTCGATGTATAGTTTACTGAAGAATATCCTAAGATTATAAAAAAAATTATGTTCTGAAGGAACATTTTCTAAATCAAATAGATTCCGTAGTAAAAAAAATCAAACTTACATTTAGCTATCAAAAGAGAAGCCAGTGAGTACGTACAAAATCACACCGATAGGTATATTTTTTTTATAGAGTAAGGGTAACAAACGAGCACACAGTTCACCTGATGGTAAGTGGATGCTGTGGCCCGTTGACATCTACATATAACCTCGATTAAGTTTAAAATGCAGATGCATTGCCAGCCTTGAGGACTAAGACGGTATGCCTCGTTTCCAGTAAAAAGAGTCTCCGGTTCTCTACACTCACCATACGAAACACAGCAGTATTAAGCTGCTATTTACGCCGGTATTCTGTGAGAGCGTAGTCCTTCCCTGTCGTGCCGACACTTTCGCTCTACAACCATAATATAGCTGCAGCATGTCTCTACCATGTAATATATATTTTATCTACACATCCTATGGTTCCTGACCAACCCTCAATTATGCGAGAGACGGTAGATCGTAATGTGACGCTAAAATATATTTGTATATCTTACTACTAATTTGAAATAAACTTTATATAAAAAAAATAAAACAAGAATGTTGAACTAAATAAATAAAACAATTAAAACTATCGAAGTTAAAATAATACGCACCCAATTAGTAGTATTTATTGATAGATCAATTTCATAATATGTTAATGTAAAAAAAAGGCTGTAAGAAGCCTAATTTGTTTGAAGTTGTCCGCAATTGTCTAGGGCCTGCAGTAGCCACTCACCGTCAATTGGACATTTTTCCACTAAAACATGTAAGAAAATTCTTAACTCGGTTGGTACATTACAACAACCTAGAAACATTTCTGTATGGTTTCTTCACAGTACTACACTGGCGGTATCTAACATTTGCTCATGCGCTTCGTACCCTGATCTTCATTAGCATACGTAGGCATGGTATGTTGGTATAATTCGGCTTCACGCTTTTACCGGCAGTCTGAATTATCAACGGCTCGGCGGCACTGCGTTAGATGAGCGCAA